AGATTCTAATGAGGGAAATGTAGGGCAATAATTTTTCTTTTAGTACGGCTCTACAAGAAGTCCTTCTAATGAATAACGTGTTTGATTTCTCTGTTGTCAGAAGCTCCAGGGTGGATCTGTTCACCACACAACGTTAGCGTCTCAACATTCCCTCAGTAAGCACCTGTCTCACTGATTAATGATCTCCTGCATTCAAGCCCGTCACCATCTTCCTCTTTTTCTGGACTCCTCTGCTCCATTATAAACCATGTAGATTTCACACGTTGATTAATGAAACGATGTTTATAGTAGATACAGGACTCCCAGGGTTCACTAATTGGTCTGTGGTGCTTTGGAATAACTCGAGGATTGAAGTGAAGAAAAAAAGACAGATAATAGAGGTGTGAATTCAGTTGTTAAGACTCTTATCTCTGCAGGCATAAGATTGCATCCATGCAGCAAATGCGAGGACAAGTAAATGTGTACAACAAACATACCCAGCATTGATGTTGCATTTTCAGCACAGAAACACTCTGACAGATATGATAGGTGGAACTTCAAAAGCTTTTGCCTCTATCCTGGCACTTAAATGTGTTATTTGTGTAGTCAGATGGGATCTACATCACTGAAATACATCCATCATCCCAGTGCATCATGGAGGTGTGTATGCTGCATATCAATGATGCCACATACAGGGGGAAAACTATTTGATGACTTGCTGTCAGATCCAAGCAGATATCGATAGATATTTATTACTGGTTGTTGTTAAGACATGTATAACAAATATTATTATTTTTTTATACACTGCCGTCGGCAACATTTTTTTGATCATATTCAGTGAAATCGACACTATAATCCGACAGAACAACATAAATAAAGTGGTTTTAGAAAAAAAACCAAACTTCTACCTGGAATAACTTCTACCAGATAACGCCACCTGGAGCGTGTTATTTGTTTTGCAAAAATCCACAGCTCCCGGATCATCCTGTCCAATCAGTGCAGGGGGGTGTGAGATCTGACTGTCAATCACAGATCGGGCACACGCCACCCCTCACGCACGTTACAATCACATGCACTCGCCTGAAGTTCGCGCAGTAACGAAGAGTGATGGCGGATCATGTATCTCGCTTTCAAAACACTAACAAATCAGGTAAGCTCATTTAGAGTATAAATGACGTTAGCAATTGCAATCTATCGGTAGATTAGCCAGGGCAGCATACCTCCAAATACTGTTGATGGATGCCGATGAGGCGGGCGCGTTCACAGATAACCTGGTGCACACGCACTGACGAGCACGAACTCGGTGGGAGGGTATCCGTTGATAGTGGGGGAGGGGCATGAGAGTTGTAAACATTAAAAATTTTGCCTAAGTCCACTCAATCTGCCAGACTTGCCGACTGCAGCTTTAAGATCGGGGATTTGAACAATTTAAATGCTAAACTGTATAATGCCTTGGAAACCACCTGCAACATCCTGTTAAAATTTTTATATTTTATTTTATTTTACCACGATAAGTATGAACATAATAATTGTGAGAACTGCCTTATCAAGCAACACTAATACAATAGTTTGTTTGTTCATTCATTCGTTCATGTATAAAATTATTTTAATCTCTTAAAGTTATGAATTACCTAGCGCCGGTTTAAAAGATTTGTGCTCCCTAAAGCTGTTGTTGACAGGGTTGTTCCTTTTATCTATATTGATCTTGTTGGTGAATTATAATCCTCCCAGATAGATGGCTCCTTAAAAGCGACTGCCTTTGGCACAGAAATGCTAATGTTTGTAGCAGCTAGGCATGAGACACTGCAGGGAATGTCCTAAATTAAACCTAATATACACCCCTCCAGCACAGCCCTTGGGTTGTTAAAATGCCTGTGTAATTTACACTAAAATAGGGGGATCTTGTATACAAGAGGCTTGCAGGTAAATCGAGCTTTAGGATCCGGGCTGCTAACACAAAGTTAGCTGGTTTAATCCTCAGGGGTGACCAATAAAATGGCAATGAGAAATGGCGATTTCCATTGATGCCCTCACTAAAGAAATGAACCTTAGATTATTTCATTAAGATAATAAATGCACTTTTAGTCATGTTGTTTAAATGCAATAATGCATACTATAACAATTTCACTGCTTGCAAGTATGTACACAGAGGAGGAATTGATGAATTGGTCCAATCTTGGCAATATAAGAGAATCACGTGTTTTCAACACTTTGTGGATGGCTTCATATGACAATGCTCATTTTCCACAAAGCAAAGTCAATAAGAATGGGTTTGCCAAATCTGAAAGCCTTCCACAGAAGAGTATACATTTACTGTGCATTTGGCAGACTGAAAATCCCAAGCAAATTAAATTCCATTCAAGTTATACATTTATAGTTCATGTGAGTTTAAGCTGCAAACGGTGGTATTAATGGCCATACTTTCTAAATTAAATGTAGCAACTAGATATGTGCATGGTGATTGGGTGTTCAGTTACTTTTAGTTTGCGTAGTGTGTTTAACAAAAAAATAGACTAGATAACTAACTTTTTTTGTGCTAAAAACATAGAAATGGAAATATGGTTCACAGGGGACGATTTGAAGTTCAACAATAATTGTCCTGATTATTGTTGAAAGTGGTGATTTTTTTTTTTTTTTTTTTTTTTTTTATCAAAGTGATGTGGTGGGGATTCAAAGGAGATTAATTTAGAGCTTATTTTTATTTTTAATATATTTCAAAATGTAATTTTACTTTGATTGCAACGCTGAATTATCAGCAGGCATTACTTCGGTTTTCAGTGTCACATGATCCTTTAGATCATCATTCTAAAATGATGATTTGGTGCTCAACATTTACTATTAACATTTACTATTATTATTATCAATTTTAAATGTATGTGTGTTTGTGTGGCCCCGAAGCCTTTAGCATGTGAAAACTACAAAATAATGTGCCGACCTTTAAAGAAAGATTCTAAAGAATCTCTGTATTCTCTTTCAGATGAAGGGCGCTTTAAGCCTTTAAGACTTCATGAACGCAGCCTGTTGTCTATCTATCTCGCATAGAGCAAGACGCTTGCAGATCAACTGATCAAGGGTTATTGCATTTTACAGGCAGAGTATTTATTCCATAACTTCCCTGACGTTCTTGTTTACCCCCAAGGAGCTTTTCATGCGGCCGATAAAACAGGCTTTTATTTCTTTGCCCACGGCACGGATTGATTCTGAGGTCGCCCGTTTGTGATTGGATTATTCGTGGAGTAGTTATTCCGTCTGTTTTGCTCTGTTGTGTCTGAGGGTGGTGAAACTGGCCTCTTTGTCTTTATCATTCTTACCTTCCACTTCATTACTGCTTTGTTTTCTCAGGACTGCGTTGTTAGGTTTCTGGGTTTCTGAAAAATTTAGTAGAAAACTGAATGGAATGAGTGTATCGTATCGCATCGCACCAGTGAGATAAAGGTGACAGGAGACTTTATCTATCCGAAGAGCCTGGCATTCCTCCAGTGCAGACGGAGTACGAGTTAGTGCTTTTCCCTCGGGTTCGAGAGAATGGTACTGTGATCTACTGCCTACAGAGAGAGAATAGACGTAGCAGGAGAGTTTAGAGAGTTATAGGTCATTCCAGCTTTAAAATCTGATTGGATGAGGTTTTTTTGAAGCTGCTATGGAATAGCCAATATACAGTAACAGCTGCTTGGCAACTAAATGGTCTGCAGTCAGGCTAATGGACTATATTACTTAATGGAAATATTGTTTATTGTAATTGCTGCTATACTTAAATGCAATTATGTGTTGAACAATGATGTTTTTATCAAATAAATCGGGTAAAATCACTGTAAACCATGTCCTTGAGTGGCTTGTTGCATTATTATGCATCTGCTGTATTACTCACAATCAATTCACGCACACATACACAACCTTAGCATAGGCAAGAAATGAAATCTCAGCCATTCTCAAAGACTGATAAATCTTTCTTTGGATGATTTTATTCACAATGTGGTTATACTATGAATATACTGTAGATTTATGGACCTCTAAAATAAATGTGGTTGGTCCTTTCACATGTCGATCCAATGGCGTCTTCCTGTCTGAATGAGCGGTTCTTGGCCAGAAAATGAAATGTAATAGACTCAGGTCCAAGTTTAAAAATGCTCAAATATATATGCTCTGCTCTGCCTGTTAACCCATCTTAAATGAGACCTGAGTAGAGTTCAGTTAGAGGGTGTATTATGAAAAGTGCTATGGTAGGACAGATAGTTGTGGACTGCAACATGTCATCTTGCTAAATGTCCTATATTGTATGTGTTGGGCACCAGTAGTTTACCCATAAGACATTGCCACGCTCTGTTTGTGAGTTGTGGTTGATCAGTATTGGTTTGTTTAATAGCTACTAACGATATCTTTATGTTTATGGTTGATATAATTTAGCTAATGGGGGAGCTGTACATAAAGCTGTACATAATAAATATTTAAATATATTTTATTATAATAATAATAATAATAGAACATTTTTAAATTGCTATAATAATTAATTTATTATTATTAAATATATTATTGTTATTGTTATTATTAATATGTATAATATGTATTTAAATGTATATAAATAAATAAAAATTAGTAGTATTAAATTATTACTGTTGTCATTTCATTTGTGCAAAACAAGCATTATTATATAATAATAAGTATTGTTGTCATTTCATTTCAAACAATGTTTTATTGTTTTAATAATGTTAGCAATGATGATAACAATAATCAAATAATAATATTTATAATGTAAAAAAAAAAATAACTGACCCAAGGGGGAATTAATTAGCTATAGTTATCAGCCAAAATTATGACCTTATTGATTAGTGTCACTAGAGTCAACAAATGTGACTTTACTTTATCAAAATATTCTGTCAATAATCAGCATTAGGTTGCATAAGCTCACAAGTTTTCTGAGGTTTGCATGAATCATCTAGGGATTCAAAAAATGAACAACCTCTGGCTGTGAAATGATCAACTTTGAGCTATAACATTCTTCTGTCTCTCTTGTACCCTCTCAGGTGCCCGTGGTTAACCAAGGCCATCTCCCCTCTTGTGCCTCTATACAATGGCATCATCTTCCTCTTTGTGTTGGCTAACTTCAGCATGGCCACCTTCATGGACCCTGGAGTCTTTCCCAGAGGTATGATCCTGTCATCCTTTAAGTTTCTCAATTCAAATATCTGGAGATTAGATACAGCAGTAGCTCCACGATTAGTATACTGCAAGACTCAGACAATGTTGATGTGAATGTTGAAATTTCCTTCTGTTTCTCTCTCAATCCCAGCGGATGAGGACGAAGACAAAGACGATGATTTCCGAGCTCCGCTTTATAAAAACGTGGAGATAAAGGGAATTCAGGTGCGGATGAAGTGGTGTGCCACGTGCCACTTCTACAGACCTCCGCGCTGCTCACACTGCAGCGTGTGTGACAACTGTGTGGAGGTGAGACGCATAGGAACACGCATACCAGCATTCCTGCGTTATATAAAATGATCACGATGCCAGCACTCTCACACATACATACTTCCATTCTCTCTGTAGGACTTTGACCACCACTGCCCATGGGTGAACAACTGCATTGGTCGGAGGAATTATCGCTATTTCTTCTTGTTCCTGCTGTCTCTAAGTGCTCACATGGTGGGCGTATTTTCCTTTGGCCTGCTGTTCGTGTTACACCACCTTGAGACTCTGAGTGCACTCCACACAACTGTGACGTATCCTTCCACAAAGAGCAACTATGATGAAAGCTCATTTAGTTGAATTTAATAAACTGATTTACCTAGCAATTAAAAGTTTGGGGTAAGAACGTTTTACATATAATAACAATAATTACTATTATTCAGCAAGGATGTATTAAATTGATCAGGAATGACAAAAAAAAGTCATTTATAATGTTACATAAGAATTCTATTTCAAATAAATGCTGTTCTTTTAAATGTTCTATTCATCAAAGAGTCCTGAAAAAATCCCCGTCTTACAGGGCCCACAGTGAGATCTCATTGGCTCACAATCCTGTGTATGAAAAATCAAAAATGTTCTGATTGGCTGTGATTTTGTGGGCTCCTTGACTCTCCTGCTGTCTAGTCTTGTGGTTATGTGTGTGACTGGCCTGTTCTTCATCCCTGTTATGGGCCTCACTGGGTTTCACATGGTTCTTGTAGTCAGAGGACGGACCACAAACGAACAGGTGAACCAAATTACACAACACTAAATATATTTATCTGGTCTGTGTAACAACATACGCATATGTAGAGACAGAATCGTAGTCACATGTTGCACACCCACTCAAGAATCACTTTGATGTCTTTCCAACTTGATTGCCTTCTGTTGTTAGTGCATGACATCTGTTACAAAGGCTGTTATTTTCAATGCACATTACGGTCCTTTGGGTCAAGGACAGTTGTTTTCCACTCTCCTCAGTATGCTGAAAGTAGAATTCCTCTCTCTCTCTCTCTCTGTTCTCAGGTGACAGGAAAGTTCAGAGGAGGAGTGAATCCATTCACTCGGGGTTGCTGTGGCAACGTGAAACACGTCTTATGCAGTCCGCTTGCTCCTAGGTAAAGAAGAAACTGGCTTCTGCACACACATATATTCATGTTCATAATCAGTCAGAGTTGCAAGCACGCACAGTACACACATACGGGAAGTGTGTGAAAGACACTGGCCACGGTGTGTTTCCACGGCCAAATTTACATTAGGTTGCGTTATTTTCCATTTGCAAAACAGGCAGGATTCAATGAACATTACGCTTAGGCAAATGCTACAAAAGACCTATGAAGTACCAACTTCACTGTGTACTCAAAATTAAAAATGTTAAAGGGGCTACATGTAAGAATTTTCATGTAGTAATCTTTGTTTTTTATTGCCAACGTGTAAACCATTCGTAACAAAAAAAAAAAAAAAACGAGACCTTCGACTTCCTAGGTTGTCTATGAAAGCCTATAGACTGATTTTTATGACGTTTTTGCTGAGAAAATCAAAAGGATGGGACGTCTATTTTTTTCTGTTTAATGACACATGAAATGAATGCTTATACAATGTTCAGGATAAAGCCGAAAGGTCTGTTCTCTACTGTAATGTCAATGTGTCATAGCCTGGGAAATCCCAGACAACTTCTGGCAAATTTAGATTTGCTCTGAAAGTTAGTCTGGCAAAGAGCTCATTCAAGCCCATTTCCAATCCGTCGAAATCGAGGCACCAATCAGAAACGTTGGGGCGGGCTTTACACGATGACGACAGTGCTGGGATTTTGAAGCAGATTTTGTAGCCTACATTACAAAGATGGATGCCGCCGTCGAACATCACTCGTTCGAATCAGCTATCGCGTCTGTTTTAAGCGATTTGAACGTTTCCTTTTTGTTAAAAACCGAGCAAAGAACAACACTCGGAGTGTTTCTCCACCACTCTGCATACGTCATCTCCTTCATCGCTCTGATTGGTTTTTAGGTCTATCCGCGACGTCCGTTGGTGACGCCCCTCTGGAAATGATTCGTCTATGACGCTTTGCCAGACCATAACTCAGTTACAACTGAGAATGGTCTGGTTTTAACCAGGCTAAATGTGTCGTATAAAGAAAAGGAATTAATTCAAACTATAGTCTCACATAGCCAGATCTATGTAGTCTATCGTTCTCAAATATACTTTATAATCAAACAATCGTTACGAATTGCAGAGCTTGTGCAAATCTATTCACATCGATATGATCAGATGCTTTCTTAACTGCTGTTTTCTCACCGCTGGCATTTTTGTTGTGTGCTTATTTTGTTATTGAGAGGAAAGCGCGCAGCACAAAAGGAAATGTGCTTTAAAATATGTGTGACGCCGTTAATAATTACTGTAACAAATATAAACAGAAGACATAGATGGAAAAAAATAGGTTGTTTATCATTGTAGACAATCTAGAGGGGGTTTCAGAAGAATAGAGGTCCATAGGAAGGTAGATTGCGTCCTGTTTTTCTTGCCTGTATTATGACACTTATTATAGCACTGAAGACTTGAAGCAGGCCATGTAACAATGGGGAGAGAGAAAGTGATTGCCGTATAAACACAGATCAGAGCCAAGGTTAATGACTTGTTAAAACTCGTTTTTGGCGTCTTCAGAAACAATAGAGGACACCCTTTGTGAGGTCAAAGCAGAACAAAAGGAGATTGCTGTAAACTTACTACTTTTTTCCACAGGACAAATTAAAACGTTCCTTGAATCAGAAATAGAAATCGTAGAAGTAGTTCAACAAAAAATAAAAAACTTGTCATCATTTACTCAGCCTCAAGTTGTTTCAAATGAGTATGGCTTTCTTTCTTCTGAACACTGTCTGATGTTTTCAAGTTTAAAAAAGGACAAGGCATCATAAAAGCGATATGTTGCTTTATGTATACTTTTACACTATAATACCATGTTCCAAGGCCTCTGAAGCCATAGAATAGCTTTTTGTGAGGAGCGCACCAAAATTTAAATGGTTATGAACTGAAAATCTTGACATCTACTAGCTCTCCTTGGCACAAACATGAGCGTTCATAGGAGAAGTAACAATATGATTCATGAGCGAATCATTCTTTTGACTCAAGAACTCGAGAACAATATCCGTCTGTTTTGTGAATGAATCAGACTCTTAAGAATTGAAGCTATCATACACTACCGTTCAAAAATACAGTAAAAAACAATGTGAAATAACTGTTTTCTATTTGAATATATTTTCAAATGTAATTTATTCCTGTGATTTCAAAGCTGAATTTTCAGCATTATTACTCCAGTCTTCTGAGTCACATGATCCTTCAGAAATCATTATAATATGCTGATTTGGTGCTCAAGAAACATCTCTTATATTATCAATGTTGTAAACTGCTTAATATTTTTGTATTTTTAAATGACCCCAAACTTTTAAACGGAGTCTAAATCTTCAGAATGTAAGCTTTTCATGTTCCAAAGAAGAAAGAAAGTCGTGTGGGTGTGAAATAACATGAATGAACATGAGAAAATGTCATTTTTATCAAATATTTGTTTAAGCATTAAAGAATTTGGCATACACTGATTAAGTCTGACCCATGAATTCATATGCTTTATCTAAAAATATGTAATCTGTGTGGTTTTGAAAAGCATTTCAACACACATCATGTCATCGGTTGTATATCTGCTCTACAGGTATATCGCTGATCCCAGGAAGAAAATTCCTATCGCTTTGAAACCACCATTCCTCCGCCCTGACCTCTCTAACCGACACGTCACTGTAAAAGTCAGTGATAATGGTATCCATAGTAACATCCTACGAAGCAAAGTGAGTCCAAAAAAAAAGCTTTTAATTCTGTCTGCCTACAACCTGGAATTTCAACGGTGTTTAATCATTTCTGTTATTGTAGTAAGTGCCGCTACACCAGCAGTTCATAATGTCATCAAAACAGGCTCATCATTTAGATTTCAATGAAAACTGGAATTATTAAAATGCATGGTGTCCTCATTTTTAGACGAACGGTTTTAGGAATGTGGTGCCTGTGCCTAAATCATGCTTCCCAAAATAAATCGTTTTTTTTGTGCTTTAGTCTAAGACTAGTCTGGATGGTGTGGATGATAAAAGTATAGATAAACAGCCACCTCTGCCACCAAAAGCAGATCGCTACAACCAGCTCAAGAGTCAACTGACCTCCAGCGAAGGCAAGTAGCGCTACAGAACAGCCAGTCACTCATACTCAAATGGTTTGCAGTTTACTAGGTTTTTTTTAAGCAGTCAGCACCAAAATGTTACAAAATGTATTTGTTGCTGTGATTATTTATATATTTAAACATATATTTGGCTTGTGAGATTTTTTTAAATCCTACTTAAAAGTATTTAAAAACCATATGATGATAAATAAAATATTGTATTCATCTAATTCATGTTTTCTGCTTGTGAAAAATCATCTTTTTGTAAACTGCACTTCTACTGCCATCTGGTGTTGCATCATATTGCAGTACTGTTGAGTCATTCATTTAATTTGTGCCACATTTTCCAGAGAGTTCCCTGTCCAGCAAACCCACCAACCCATCCACCCCAGCCATGTACAAATACCGACCTTCCTTCGGCACCATTCCTAAAGTGCACTATCACGCAACCGGAGAGAAGGTGAGAGTCACAGACTAAAACAATGTTTTCAGCAATATAATAATATAATTTACACTATAGTACTGTTCAAACGTCTGGGTTTGGTAAGATTTTTTTTAAATGTTTTTGAAAGTACCTCTTATGCTCACCAAGGCTGCATTTATTCAATTGCAAAAACAATCATTTTGTGATTTTTTTTTTAGCATTTTTTATTTACTTTTCTATTTATAATATATACTTAAGTTAAAATATTATTTATTTCTTTGATGGCAAAGCTGAATTTTTAGCTGCCATTAACCCAGTCTTCAGTGTCACATGATCCTTCAGAAATCATTCTAATATGGTGATTTGGTGCTCAAGTTTTGCTGCCTTGCTTTGCCTTAATATTTTTGTTTATACCATATTAATATTTCTCGGGATTCTTTAATGAATAAAATTCAAAAGAACTGCTTTTATTTTAAATAGAATTCATTTGTAACAATGTAAAAGTCTTTACTCTCACTTGATCAGTTAAATTCATCCTTGTTGAATAATAGTTAAAGAATTAATATTTAATAATATAAATATTATATTATACTTAAATATAAATAAATATAATAATATACTTTTGATAGGCTGTCTGATTATTTTTAAACATTCTCTCAATTGTATTCATCTGTTCTCAGATTGTAATGTCCGAGAATGGTAAGCCCTCTGCAGTTTTGGAGGAGCGAGGTCACGACTACCGTTCAGAGCCAAATCTGGACCTGCCAGACTACCGAAGCACTCCTCTCCACCGAACGTACCAGTCTTCCCCTTTCCAGCTGGACTCTTTCAGCACGACGTCTCGCTCCTTCAGCCTCAAACAGGGAGTGAACAGGGCCGACCGTGTGCCACTGGGTGGCAGCAAACCAGAAACGGTCACTTCCACCCCTCACAAAGGAGTCTTCTCTCCTGGGACGTTATCTGGCCGCAATGGCAGCCTGTCCTACGATAGCTTGCTAACCCCCAGCTTAACACCATCTCTGGGCGAATGTGCTGCCCACCCGGGAGTGCCCTCTATGGGTTTTCATTCACCCTACTTGCCCTCTAAAATGTGCCACGTGCGAGGGCCTGAGCTTCAACGACACGCCGGTCCCCCGTCCTACAGCCCTGTGCACGTAGGAGCGATGTACGGGCGGCAGTCACCCCACCCGAGAGATCGAGACCGAGATCCCTCACCAGTCCGCTACGACAACCTCTCCAAAACCATCATGGCCTCCATCCAGGAGAGGAAGGAGTTTGAGGAGAGGGAGAAACTCATGCTTCGGCACGCTCAAGCGCCGGTGGCCTACGCCAACGATTCAGGTGTGTTTGACACCTGCAGTGGAGCCGCCTATGGACTCCCACCTGGGACGTGTTACCCTGACAGTCCTAGAGGCCCCGGACCCCGAGAGCCCACCCCTCCTGTGTGCAGCTCTCGGGACACCTTGATGGGATACGCTCCCCGAACCCCTGTTCTGCGTTCCTCTGCATCCTCGCTCACCAGAGCACCGAGGACTTCAACTACGTCCCTCCACACAGATGGAGGCAGTGCAAGCAGGACAGCCGAACACCAATATCGCTCTCCGGTGCACCATTCGCATCACTCTCCGACAGCTGTGCCCCGTTCCCCATTATACGCACATCAGAAGGTCGCCTTCATTAACGCCCTGGAGAGGGCGGACTCACCACGTCTGGGTACAAGGTATGACGCATAGCATCTACTTTTAACCAATCAGTAAAGAGGGTGAGGATAGGTGCATGATGTATAGACTAAACAGGTTCATGAGGTTCATGAGATATGAACGCTCTTATCCGGATGGGTCTGAAAAGATATTTCATTTGTGCTGTTTATTTTTTCATTTTTGAGTACTGGTTTTTGTACTTTAATTAATTAATTTCTGTCATTATTGTTATTGGGAAAACATAAGGTCATGTTTTTTTATTATTATTTTGCCTTTCTGCTGAGAAGAAAAAAAATGTGATTATGTATCTGGTAGCCAAATAAATGTCCTTTTTTTTGCCTTTCCCCCTTCATTATTATCAGTTTCCATGTCTGCATGTCTTTTCATTCATATTTCTAAGCTTATTTATGATACATTTTGCATGGTATCTACTTCTGGCATATTGTACATTTCATTGCATTATGGTAATGTCTTAAACAGTGTTGCATTGTGAGAAATCAATGTAATATACAAAAATCATGATGTGATATCCATTCATGTTTTTGTTCTGTTTGAGTTGCTTTTTGTTCACTATCATTTATGTGCATACTATTTTTGTGTTGCTTTTTTTCTTTGACTGACTTTTTGATTTTGTTCTTATTTTTACAACTGATAAGTGATTAACATCAAACCGCATGATTTGATCTATCATACTATTAAGCCATTGTATCTTATTTAATATAATGATTTATTACAGGGCTCAACAGTAAGGAATTTTACCTGACAACATTTTTATAGATCCCACAAAAAAAGAATTATCCTTTTTTTAGCAATGCATTTAGTTTTTTTTTTAGTTTTTTTTTTTTAAAGGTACACTATGTAACTTCTGGCCCTCTAGCATGCATTTTGCGGAAGAACATTATTTTGGTTGTGCTTCGGCTCTGCGTGTCCGTGCGGATGAATAGATGTTACTGCTCATAAAACATTCACTACTAAGCTTAAAGGGATACTCCACCCAAAAATAAAAATTCTGTCATCATTTACTCACCCTCAAGTTGTTGCAAACCTGTATGAGTTTCTTTCTTCTGCTGAACACAAAGGAAGATATTTTGAAGAACGATTGGAACTTTGGCACCATTGACTTCCATAGTATATATTTTTTTTCTACTATGGAAGTCAATGGTGCCAAACAATTGTTTGGTTCCAATCGTTCTTCAAAATATCTTCCTTTGTGTTCAGCAGAAGAAAGAAACTCATACAGGTTTGCAACAACTTGAAAATAAAATTTTTGGGGTGGAGTATCCCTTTAAGAGATAACCAGTTTAGATGGAAAGGATCTCAAGCTGACTAGTTGAAGAAGTTACTGTAGCTATACACATTAATAGACACAGTACTTCCTTGAAAATGAATTCCAGTACAGCGCTAAAGCAACCATAATGAAATGACCCTTCACACTATAATCCTCTACAATGAACTCTGTTAGAGAGCTACATATGGTAATTTTTCTGTTCAATAATATACCTTACACACCTGTTGAGTAATAAAAACGCCATATCCGAAAAGCCAAGCCAATGTTGATTCTCATTTTATTACGAGCTCTGTCGCGTTCTATTTTTGCCAGCAGACTCTCCTCTATTTGCCTTGTTTTTTCCCCCTCGGAGATTGAATATTTAGCTTGCTTCATTTCCACCTTTCTCATTCATTGTGACAACTAACCTATGCCACTCTCACACCATACATGCGTCAAAGTAGCCAGAGCAACTTTTCTCTAATTATGCATATGACGAGACACACACGGCCGAGTGACATATTTACGCAATTTCCTGTGGAAATTTCCTGTCAGTTCTAAAATATAAACGCTTATAATATGCTTACCATAGTGAATCAGACAAAAAACACGTTTTGGAAGAAGGATTTCTGATGTATTGAATCATCATTTAATTTTTGTTACTTTTAAACAAAAAACTTACATAGTGTACCTTTAAAAAAGTTTGCAAGGCATACTTTGTGGACAAGTAGCTTTTGAGTCCTGTATTAATGTTCATTCCCTTCCACCACTCTTCAATACTGTCCTCTTCTTCATTAACTCATCTTCATTTGTAACCTTTCAAACCATTCAGTACATGTTTGACTCTCTACCTGTCTAATGAAGAACAAAAGAGGAGAACAGTTGAGGATACAGTTGGAAAAGAACCACCTCAAATATGTCTTCCTGTTGTTGTTTTTTATATTTTCTCCACATAGAGAGGACCTCGGTCCAGGTAAAGTCAACGGGCAACTAAAGGGCCAAGCACGTGACTGCCATCTAGGGACTCCTTCTGGAACTCCCAGCAGACACACCAATGTCAAAAAGGTCACAGGAGTGGGTGGAACTACATATGAGATTTCTGTTTGACGGACAGCTTGAGAGCCACTGCCTGTGAGGAAAAGCACTGCCATGGCAACACCACCTCCACTTGTGCTCAAGAGAACAAGTTTCTCTTTCTTTTCGCAGTTTTATGAAATTATACTCACCGATCAGGAGACGCGCACTCGCGCAGTATCTGGGGCAGGTCTTTTGGGAGAAGATTTTTCATTGGCCTTTTCTTTGTTAAAGAGACTTTCCATGTGTAAAATTTAACAGGAGCCGCTTAATCGAAAGAGCCTTGTATGTTTTTTTAAAGTGTCAGCCGTCAGAAGATATAAATCGCACACACAACTGAAAATACTGGCTTCAATCGCTTCAAATGGAATAAAAAAAAAGTCTATATACCATTAAGGGCTGAATATGTACAATGTCAGTTCAGTTGTTTGTATATAAAAGGTCAAAGGTCACTTATTGAATGCAAATGTGCTCAGTATGCTGATCTTTCACACACTTGAATGTGAGTGTATATGTACATGCACATGCCAGTAACTCCATTACTACTATATTTTTGTCATTATACTGATCTAATAATCAGGGTTTCATCTCAAATGCATTTCTCTGTTAAAAAGATAGTTTACCTAAAAATGAAAACCAATGTTCTTTAAAATATCTCAAAGAAACTCATAGAGATTTAAAACAACATGATGGTGAGTCAATGATGACAGAATTTCATTTTTGGGTGAACTATCCCTTTAAGCTATCAGGTTCAAACAAACCATAACAGCACTTGGGTACTTTAAAAACCTACAATGAAGTTTTATTTTTCAAATATGGTGGTCATTTACACTTTTTACTAATGTAAAACTATAAGCTGCCATAGAAATAAACATACACTTGTATATGTAATATAAAAAAAAAAAATTTAAAGTTTCAAATGGTGGATACTGGGCATTATCGCCAGTGTTAAAACTTTCTTTCAAACTTTGTTTTTCTTTATAAAAAGTATTTTGTAGTGGCAGAGATATGAATATGTTAACAGAAACACACCACTGTGTATTAGCAGTACAGGCCACATGTTAAAGCCATATTCTAACGTTTTACAGTAATGATCTTCATCTTTTAACATACATTTGAAAAATACTCCTTCCTTTGTTACATAAAGGACTTAAGGAGTTGAAGACTGAAAGCAAGATCTGCAATATCCAAGTTTTTTATTGCTTTACCATTTCCCTTTACCTGAAATAGATTAGAAAAACATGATGATTCATGGCTACATCCCAAATATTTTTCCATTTCTTTTATTTTTATAACGTTTGTGTTTTTTTTAAACCCAACTTTCAATGGTTTGGTATATTTCACTTTTTATACAGATATTCAAAGGGGTGTTTGTATTTTTGGAGTGGATTTTTCTTCTTTTTCTGCATATTTTATAATTTATTTGTACAAATTAGTTAGTACGCATTGCCATTTTGATTAGTTGAAAGTAGCACTTTCTGTTAAGATTTTTTTTTCTTCAATGAACGAATGTTATTATAGGATGTCTTAGGAAAGGATCTTCAGGAAAGTTACACGTGTAGTAAAGATGCTTGTTTCTGAATGCTGGATCCATTTGAGAGAGTTAAGAAAAAAAACTGTCATAACGACATATGACACATGGTCTTTATACCCTGTCGTTCAAAAGTTTAGGGTCAGTAGTTTTGTTTTTTTAAACTGAGGACATTAAATTGATCCAAAAGTGATAATAAAGACTTTTATGCTATTACAGAAAGTATAAGACTATTTTAAAAAATACTGTTCTTTTCTGTTGGTCAAAGAAAGCAGCACAACTGACAGCATTGATAAGAAGAAATGTTTCTTGAGCACCAAATCAACATTGAAGACTGGAGTAATAGATGAGTTTAGTTTAGCCATGTCTGAATTACCGTAATTAGGAGATAATGACTCGTAGAACTTGTAATTACAACTTGTAAACTGGGAATTCTCTTAGAGCTATGACTTTTACCACATGACCATTGTACCACCTGAATGTCACGTGTTGTCATCTCGCAAACAATTACGGTAATTACGACATGGTGTGTTCTGAAAATTCAGTTCTGACATAATATTTCACAATATTACTGTTTTTGCTGTATTTTTGTTCAAATAAATTCAGCATTGGTTAGCATAAGAAATTTCTTTCAAAAACATTGAAAAAATCGCACCGACCCCAAATTTTTGAACGGTAGAGTATTTTAAAGTAAATATCTTCGTAGGTTCCTTTCATATCATTCAGTTCTGGAATACTCAACATGCCTTTGTGATAAATGTTGGCTTAGGAAGTTTAATTCAGAAAACCTCAGCCTCACCTTCCCTTCTCACTTTCAATAGTAGTTGTAGTCTCTTTTGATTCTACAGCAAGGGCAAACAATAAATAATAATAATAAAAAGATAAAACAGCCCTCCATACACAGGTGTGTGTATTGTGCAGGCATCTGTACAGTTATTACACAGACAAATGCTTTAAAATGATGGTATTTATAGTGTTGTTTGTGTAAAAAAAAAAAAATTAACAATGTTTTTTTTTTGCCAATTATGTCATATAGTTATGGCCTACCAGCTTCTAATGTTTACCGTGCTTGGTTTATGTCCTCCTCGTTATCTTATATCTTATAAAATTATAAATTGCATTTGTATTTTAAAAGGGGAGACCAATAAATTGATTTATTTTTTTGAGAGAGAGAGAGAGAGAGAGAGAGAGAGAGAGGGGGAGCGAGAGCTTGAGAGTGAAAGAGAAACCCATCTTTGAAATTGTTGATGCAAAGTGCAAGACATGCTGATTAAAAATAAATCAAATAAAAAACACCTAAAAAAAGAAATCTGTTTTAAATGTAATGATTTTTCTCAAGAAATTAAATGGACAGCATAGGTGAAAGTGGCAAATTCATACCTGTTGAAAACTTCATTGTGGCCTGTTTCATGATGACCTAACAATTTTATAAGGATGAGTTTGTAGTGTGATTTATGTTATTGGCATCTCTAACAGGGTGATCTTACAGATGTCTTGCTGACTGAAAATGCTTACTTGGAGTTCTCTGCTGCCCATCAGATGACTTTCCAAGGAATCCATAGTGATTTCCTCACAGATCTGCCTTAGGGGTCTAACTCAAGCACTGATACAAACATCATTTTGGTGCATGTGAAAAGAGTCATAATCATACTTTTTTCAGTCAAACGGCTCCTTGAAATTGTAAATAACTTACATGGACATGAAAAGGCCTTTACAGTTTGTCAGGCTCCATTTCTGTGAATGTTTCACTGTGTTCGGTCATGTTGTCATCTCTGTCCTTCATTGCCGCTGTCTGGCACAGCGTCCTTCTGCTTAAATGAAACAAGTTGTACATAAAGAAAAAGAACAACTAGGACTTTTTTTGTGATGAAGTATTTCGTTCAGATGAAATGAAGACATTATAGTTTCATATCAAGGTACATCTATTATTTTTGTTCATCAAGGAAAAAATCTGAATAAATATAACTTGAACATTCATTTTTGTCTCTTTATTTGTCATCTATTGTCTTGGTAAATGATGATAGATAGATAGATAGATAGATAGATAGATAGATAGATAGATAGATAGATAGATAGATAGATAGATAGATAGATAGATAGATAGATAGATAGATAGATAGACAGACAGACAGACAGACAGATAGATAGATAGATAGATAGATAGATAGATAGATAGATAGATAGATAGATAGATAGATAGATAGATAGATAGATAGATAGATAGATAGATAGATAAGAATAAAAAGATAGATAGATAGATAGATAGATAGATAGATAGATAGATAGATAGATAGATAGATAGATAGATAGATAGATAGATAGATAGAATAAAAGGATATGTAGGTAGAGATAGATAGATAAAATGATAGATAGATAGATAGATAGATAGATAGATAGATAGATAGATAGATAGATAGATAGATAGATAGATAGATAGATAGATAGATAGATAGATAGATAGATAGATAGAATAAAAGGATATATAGGTAGAGATAGATAGATAGATAGATAGATAGATAAAATGATAGATAGATAGATAAGAATAAAAGGATAGATAGATAGACAGATAGATAGATAGATAGATAGATAGATAGATAGATAGATAGATAGATAGATAGATAGATAGATAGATAGATAGATAGATAGATAGATAGATAGATAGATAGATAGATAGATAGATAGATAGATAGATAGATAGATAGAAATAAAAGGGAAGATTTGCTATAAGTTTAAAAAAATATGCGAAGAGCCATTGACTGCTGGAGTCCGAGCTGGCCGCACATAAATAAAGTATAGCCTAGCCTAAATTAAAACAAAATCTCTTGCATTTTAGGACGTAGATTAAAGTTAATTCCACTCCTTAAAGCATTGTGCAATGGCATTAAGTGTTCCCATTCTCTCTCTCACTCTCCCCGCTGATGTCTATTTGATCTGTGCGGTAGTCGTGAACGCGCACCGCCAGACCTCCGCTGTAGCTGCGTGCGTGTCCACGCTTTATGAAGGCGCGTTCCCTCAGGTGAATGGAGAGAGTGAGAGGACGAGTCCTGTGTGTGTCTCTGGCCGAGCTAAACAGACTAAAATGGGGCTTCGCGGATTGACAAGGACGGGGGTGTACATGACAGTCTGCCTTCTGTGGGTGACTGGATGCTTTACGCAAAAAGTGAGTAGGACAAGTGTGTGGCAGTAGCCTACTTTCCCTTTTGTTTGTCTGCGGTTTGTTTTGGCTTGTCAAAATGTTTACAGCAATGATTCTAGTTTGCACTATAGTAGGTACACTATATGGAGTAAATGTAGGTAGCAGTTAGAACAACTTAAAAATAGCAGGTCCCTTGGTTTGAAAGATAGACCTATTTAATTCGGAAGTTTGGGGAAGGTGTTGTGATGAAATGTGGAGCAGCTTGTTGTGTGGTCCGGGTCGGTTCTGGCAGAGAGTTGGGCTGAGCGGGGTCAGTTCAGCACGGGCCAGCGGTTCCGCATCAGATGGTTCCGTGAGCTCAAATAATACATAAATAAATGAAGGGGAAAAGAAAGGAAAATTATATTATACAATTTTTTTTTGTTCAGGTAGCCTATATTAAGTTATCCAAAATACATTGCAATGACATAATTCGATCTATGATCAAAATGTTTTCAGTTCGTTACTTTATTGTGGGGCTTAAAGAAAAAAAAATTATAGGTGGTGTAACTGTACAGAGATTGCAAAAAAACAACAACAATACAAGGCTTGATTGATTATTTATCAAAATAATATTGCATGATTTTCGTTTAATTTAATTTAAATATTTATTTTCTATTATTCTAGGTTATTTTTTTTCTTGAAGGTATATATTTATGTTGCGTTTTTAGCAAAGTATAAACATCAAGTATAAATTTCTTGTTGGAAATGTTGGCACAAGTAAGTAGATCTGAATATTATTATTATTATTATTTGTAAATCAATTTTACTTTAAAATAGTGTTAGGCTAATATTTTAATACATTTTGCCTGTCAAATCAAAATCAGTGTTGTATGATCAACATGCACATTTTTTTATTACTGGTTGCTTAAGTTACACCACGTGAATTTGATAATTCTATCAAAATGTTTGTAGAAAATTGTATAAACATTTTGCTAAAATGTATGCAACTTTTTACTTAGCAAATTGTATCATTTTGGGAAGCTGTCTGCATCATACAGGCTGTAGTTGCATCATCTCATTGTCACAAAATAACAATTTTGTTTAGGAAAGAATTGAGTTGTCACAGCGCTAGCAGTCACTATAGCAGTTTATTCTTGACTGGTTTCTTAGACCTGGCTATATGTACAGCCATAGATCAGAACTGAATGGCTGGACCTTTGATATTGTGCCATTCACATTCCCTTCACTACAGCTCCTTTGTATTCTCTATCAACTTTCGTCACAGAGGCTGTTTATGTAGCTTCTCAATGCTAGGAAATCGAGAGTTTGGGAAATATGTGTTGAGGAGAAGCTTAGTGTGTTTTTGAGGTGATTACCAGATTCCTGTGGGAAACATGCTCCACTCATGCAATTAAACACATTGCTCTGTGGTCAATTCCACATGCTGTCTTTCACCATATTTCCTTCCCAGGCATGGATATGATTTATTAATTCCTGTATTGCAGCAGAGTGAGATAAACAGAAATAGACTCCATCTATTTGAATCTAAAAAAAAAATAAACATGCACTTATTTACCCTAAGAGTAATTTCCTCTTATTTAGGATACGTTGCATGATAAAGATGTACTAAAATGGAAAAGTTTTTCCTTTTGTGTTTTTTTTTTCTAGTTTAGCGTATAGACAACAACAATGTCAAAACAATCCCCGTTCACGGATCCACGAAAATGACTAAAAACGCTGTATTCTGCTGCCAGGCCAGTAGTTGGCGATGTCACTTTGTAAAGAAGCACTACGCGGAGTACGCGCCTATAGATTGAACGCGTAATAGGCTATATGCACGCATAAGTTCCGCATTTGACGCAAGGATGCTCTTCAGTTTCCGGTTGGGGAGATTTAAAGCGGAGGAAAACAGAGGAAAACGGGGTTATGGCAGAGTCTTCAAAATTTACTGTCCTCTCGTCTTTGAAACGAAACTTTAATACGTTTAGATGTAATTTTATATATAGTTATATTTATTTAATATAAAAAACAAAGAAGCATAAACAAAATGAGGGGTGTCTGTTTTGTCTGTTTTTGTGACTAACGTTTCTTTAGTATAGCAATCGAGTATAAAAACCAATATAAATTCTCGGTATAGCATTGGACTCTACGATCGGCGGAAGTAATCCAGCACCCTTAGACCTTCACCGGAAATACCCCCATGCATAGAGCCCATATGCATGCATATGACGTCACAATTTTCACAAATTTTATCATTTTCAAAAACTTGGACTTTGAAACCCGTTTTCATAAGTTTGCGTTTTCAGGCCCCCAAACACGGTTGTCGTGTAAATGAATGGCCAAAACGCATAAAAGTTTCCAGTTTTTAGTTTAAAACAAACAAAATCTCTGTGGCACACAAAAGAAGAAAAAAAAATCCCTCAGTGTTTTTTTTTTCTACGTTTTTTTAAGTCAATGTCAAGAAGTCAACATTCTTGTTTATTACAACTAGGCTCCACAGAAAAAAGAAAGTAATTTAGGTTTAGACATGAGAGTGAGTAAATTATGTCAGAATTATCATTTATCATAAATTATCCCTTTAAAGGTTGGATGAATGCAGTATATTCCTTTTTTTTCTAATCTTTTTTTGGTGGGAAAGGGCAGCATCATCTCGACTGTGCCACATAAGGACAAGGGTTATTTCTGAGGTGACGACCTGTCACATTCAGTCATGACTCTCTTCCTCTGTGAATTCTGAATTCTGAGAATCCTGAGCGGTTTACAAAGGCTTTATTGCTTTGTTGATGTGCATCGCTTCAGTTACAGAGTGTGTGTACCTCAGCACAATTATCTGGCCCCTCTAAATGCTTCCTTTGTCCTCTTGAATTAACTTGATTTTCAGTACTGTGCAAATCAAGTTTGGAATTTGCTGCATGACCCCCCCCCCCCCCAACCCCCCCCCCCCCCCCCCCCCCCTCCCCAATCAGGTGAAGATTATATAGATTTTTTTTTTTAAACTCCATTATATTATGTCATCTACGATATACTGTAGGTTAAGATACTTGTCAGCAATGACATAGAGTGTTGGTGCAGGTCTAGCTCTAGTAGTCATCAATTTTTTGGACAATGAATTGCTCTCATTCTTGAGTTATTGTGGTTAGCACTGTGTAGGTTGAAAATTCCTGCATACATGAATGTATTTTTGTTCGCATATCTATGCAAAGCACTTGCAGTTCTGTGAGTGATTTCTCTCTCAATTATTCAAACTCACTACACCATAATTCCCTGAGAATGGAGAAAGCCACTCATAACAGTTTTAATGGGAACCACTAATGTGCATTTTCTGGCCAGAAGACTACATTCTGTGTGAATCTGGACATTTCAGAGTAACTGTTCTGAGTGATTTGTGGAGACGAGAGTGGCTAGCCGAAATACAGTAGAATTATTCCAGTGACATCTATGGCCTGGGAGCAAACAACTATGATAAACTATGATAGGGTTGCTCTGGGAAAATTGTTTTTTTTTCTTTCTTTTTCCTTCCACTGATTTGGCACATTTGTGCAATTGGCATGACATAGCAGTGTCCTAAAATGGTGTAGGCCTAATCCGTATTTAAATATTTCAAACTATTTTAAAATACATTTTATAATTATAATGCATCCAAACTATTTTAATTGCAAAATTAGTGAACTGGAAAATTCAGGCAAATTTATATTTAGGCTTTTAATATTTAGGCAATAAACTATACACATATAATTAATGAATATACATTTGTATCTTCCAGAAAAAAAAAGAAAAAAAAATTACCTAGAATAAGTCCTTAAAAAAACATTTAAATGAATTAATTACATTTTCAAATTTAAAACAATCCAAGATACATTTATTATCAAAATAATATTTCATGATTTTCATTTAATTTAATTTAATTTAAATATTTATTTTTTATTATTTATTCTTAGTTTTTTTTTTAAGGTATATATTTATGTTGCGTTTTTTAGCAAAGTATAAACATCAAGTATAAATGTAGTATAAAATGTAAAGTATAAATATTGAGCACTGAGTACATTACAGTTTCACAGGTTACCGGTTCCATTTGCTTTTAGTGAACTATTGTTAACTTTTCATATCCCCGTTTCGAGGATTCATTTTATTGACTATTGGTGTTGGTTTCAATTACATTATTACTCAATGAAGTTCTTTGTGTTTGATAAAAATCTGTTTCTGTGTGCAGTGTAAAGTGATGTGCAGCAGCTACCACTGTTGTTTTCATCAAAATATTATTGTGAAATATTGTCATCTTCCTGTCCTGCTGGCCTCAGTGTCCAGTGGCAGGCTAGGACTGATGTAACCGGTTGTAACACATCATCACGGGCTCTCTGGGCTCGATAGTGCCTGGAACGGTCTCACTTTTCACAACCAATAAATAGCTGTGCTCCTCTCCCAGCCCCCTTACAGAGGCCCATAGCATGTTTATGGGGGACTCACAGGGGTGTTTGCGCATTTGAGTGTGTGTGTGTGGGGCAAAAGGGGCTTACTTAAGCCCTCTGCTCGCACAGTTTCAGTAGTCATAATGTCAGCTCATATTATCTCTGAAACTTCTGTTGTGAAAACACTCTTCAGGACAAAAGAGACCAGGAAAAGAACTAGATATAAACTTTCAGTTTACCAGCTGACTTCTCACGTTTCATATCGAGTCACATTTTTCTCTTCAAAGCCTTTAAGTACAAATAATGTTGGTGAGACAAGCAGAGAATGACTTATTGTAAAAACAACAATAAGAACGGAGGTTATGAACTGACATGTTTACTGTACAGGGGAATGAAGGGGCAGATGTGTGTGTAACCTATCAAATACAAGAGGAAGCTACAGTGTGGTGTTTTTCACATTGCTGCCTTTACTGCGAAATCTGCTGTTCCCTACGACAGCTGTGAGTTTATCTGGCACTGTTTTACTCACACTCATTCAATGAGTCAGCTACAGTTTGTTGGCGTTAAAAGTGTAGAGGCTTGTTTTTCAGTTCAAGAGTTGCTGTTGCATTTAGCAGTTTACAGAAGGAACATGTT